GGTGCCGGAGCGTGTGCGGATCAGCGCGGCCTGCTCCAGTCCGGCCCCGTGCAGGTCCACGCAACGGGCGTTACTTCGTCTGGAAGTCCCTTGTTCCGGCCCAGGCCCCGAAGAATACACTGTGACTTAAGAAGCCTTACCACGCAGTAACTAGGCGCTAGGGTTGCCGTGTCCAGGGTGACGTGTGTTGCATGCAGCCGGCCTTAGGAAGACACGCTAATATCACTAATAAACCTGGCGTCGTGACAGAAGCTGCCGTGTGGCCGGTTTGTGACGGCAGCAGGCACCTGACGTCCCCTGCACACCTGACGCGGGCTCGAGGGGGCGAGCGGTGGCCGCAGGCCTGCTCGGCGTGCCCTCTGGGTCCGCGGCCTCCGCAGCTCCGCCCCGGGGGTTAGGCCAGTCTGGCCCTGCCGGGGCTGGACGGTCCGCGGCGGTGACACGTCACCGGGCCCACCCCGCATGCTCCATCCGCTGTCCCAGTGGGGAGCCAGGCTGCCGACAGCGTGGGAGGGAGGAAGGGAGCTTTAAATTTAAATGACCTCCAGGGACACGTGTCTGTGCGGCGTGTGCGTGCGTGTGTGCGTGTCAATCGGAAAGGTGGCCCCCCTTCCTAGCCCCGCCTCCTTGCCCGCGGGGACCCCTGCAGCCTGTCTCCAGAACGGGACTTGCCCAGATGCCCCTCGCTCCCATTTGGGTGGCCCCGCTGTGGGGAGGCAGCTGCGGTGATCATGGGCTTCGGCGGGGAGGCCCGGGGCGTGTCCCAGCACGTGAGCCCGACCGTGACCGTGGCCGAGTGGACCCTTCTCTCGCCCACCCACGAGCAGTCTGCCCTGCCCCCCGTGAGCCAGTGACAGGCGCTTCACGGCTCCTGGGGGTGGCCCCCACCCTTGGGTTATGGGACGCAACGTCACATGCGTCAAAGCTGCAGGGAAGTGGCCTCGGCTTGGGAGACTCAAAGGGTACGTCCCTGTCGTACCCAAGACGAGGCTGGTGAGCTGGCTCCGGAGAGAAAATCTATGGTTAACAAATGACATGCGGCAGGGGGAGGGGGTGTGGCACCAAGCCACATGCATAAGAAACCCAAACTGAGCAAAGCTTTGAGCCAGGGCCTTGCACGCCCCCCACACACACCCAGGAGCCACAGACGTGGCACGCGGAGGGGCGCCCGTGTCCCAGCGCCTGCCCCCACCCCCACACGCCGCACGACCTCCAGGGGACACTGGGCAGCACAGCCGGGTGGCACGGGCGCGTCACGCTGCCTCGGGCCCAGGCCGAGCCCTCCCTGGGGGTCCAGGTCCCCAGCGGGGCAGACGCCGGGCTGTCCCTGCCGTCTGTCCCAGTTAAGCCTCGGAGACGCAGAGGCCAGAAATAGTTTTTATTAAAACTGCTCCTTATGAAAACACCTTCGAGCTGCACAAACAGGTCTCCTGTGGCCTGAAATGATTCCCTGTAGAGTCTGCGTTCCAGCCGCGCCTGCGACGCGGTGCCCGCCCGAAACCCGCCTCCTGTGACGGCCTCGTTACAGCGTTTCCTGTGCACGTCGTCGCCAGCTCTGGGGGCCGCGTCCTCGCGAAGGGTGGCTCCCCGCGTCTGCCGCACAGTCGGCTCCAGCTCGCTCACCTCAGCACCCTCGCGGCCCCCAGGCGGGGTCAAATGGCAATGTCCACGCAGGCTCCGGCCCCCGGCCAGGCCCGCCCCCCCTGGGTCCCGGGGAGGGCACCCAGAACCCGGGTCCCGGCGTGACCTGCCGGGGAGGAGAGGTGAGCCGGGAGAAGGGTCCCCTTCAGGCTCCCGGGTGGGCAGCTGGTGAGGCCCAGGGGACGAGACGGTCCCGCGTGGCCTCGGGCTCGGGGCATCTGCTGCTGGGGCCCCCGGTGCCCCCAAACAGAGCAGGGGAGAGTGGGGTCTCCGACCCACCGCTCTCTTCCTGGGCCCTTTCCCGGAAGCCTGGGCCACCTGGAGTTCCAGCCGGTCCC